TTTCTGGTGATCCGACCTTTCGTTTCTCAGTTCGGTCTGCAGGATGTCGTTCTCAGCTTGTAACTGGGAATAGCCCTCTTGGAGTTCCTTGTGTGCTCTCTGACAAGAGATGAAAGCCGACTCATAGCTGATGAGCTGTTCATGAAGCTGTTGGTTCCATTCATTTTACCAGCGGGCACCAACCTTGAGTCACTGTTCACGTGCCTGTTTGCCCTGAGATGGTCGAGGCTCGAGGCTTCACGAGATTCCATTCAAGACCTTAATCCGGTTAACATGGGCTCAATGGACTCACCCTCTGAAGACGTTGCTCCTTCCTCTCTTTCATGGCCCTCTGCGCGTCTCTGTTTTGCTTCTTGCGCCTTTCCTCTCGCGAAAGGCCTGCATCAGTGTTGCTCGTTCCTTCTTGCTGCGATTGTGAGAGAAGAGGACTACCCCCAAAAGTACTTGCCTCGGGCGGGTTCGATTGAGTGCAAAGACCACCAGTCTGCCCATGGCTCGTATGATAGTTCCCAGAGGAATATGCTGTGAAGAAACAAAAAAAAACCCCGATGATAGTGAAGTAAAACAAACGAGAACGAAGAATGCTAGCGTCAAACGCTCGAAGATGGATGTGGTTGCGTCTTCTGGAAGATATGTTCTTACAAATTTGATCGGAGCCTGACGTCCGGGTGAAAGCCGGTGCCTCCCAGAGACCTGGAGCCTCGTCATTCGATGAGGATAAGGGTCCTAGGTACGCTAAATGACTCGAATCAGGTATCGGGCGACCTTCCATCTCTGCACTTGCAGATGCTGACAAGCTTGCAAGGCGACTTGATTTCTGTTGAACCCCAGAATGTTGATTTTGGTTGTCCAACATGATGGAAGGTATCTTGGCTTGCAAGTTAAGTCGTCCAGGTCTTATTTATCATTCTAGCACCCATTTCTCGTCTTCTGCAGACACCAGGCAGGAAGAAGCGTTATAGTAGCAAGGAGAAAAGCGGGCCGGCGAAAGGAGCTTAGATGAAGAGAGACAAAGTCTGAGTGGAAGATGAAAAGGCCGTGAAGTAAGGAGGAGTCTCGATCAATCCCAGCTTAGAGTCGCACGAGCGTCAGCGAATGCCGCCACAGTTTTGCAAAAAGGGTCTAAGAGGAAGAACGTCAACCCTCCCCCCCTTTTATATTCAATTTTATTTTTATTTACTTTTTCATTTCTTTTTTTTTGCCACTTGCTTTCGCCCTTTTGGTGGGGGCGTGCGACTCACGGAAGCCGGATTCCAGTCGCCGTAGGAGTAGAGCTTGGATTCGAGAAGCGAAAGCCGGGTCCCATCCTTTTCGTTGGACGAGAAATTTCAGATCCAGCACCGTCTACACCTCTACGAGCGAAGAGTTGCGAATGCAACTTTTGCTGAGGGGTGTGGTGTTTGGTTGAGATTGAACGAAGAGGAGACACGAGAGAAAGAGAGGAAAGGGATCGCTCGCTTTGACGCAAGCGGTCGTGAATGGAGGAGAGCCTATGCACTGCATGTGCATTTACCGCCTGTGCGGGGGGAAGCTCGACTCGGTGAGAGATTTGAACTCGCGGCTGCAGTAAACTAGCGATGAATCTCCAAAGGCTGACCGAATGGTCACAAAGGGACGAAAGGGACGAAAGGGACGAAAGGGCCGCTCTCCACTCGACTGTGCTATGCGCGACCTTTCTCAGGAAGAGAAGTACAGCAGCCCTGCGAGCCGCAAGTGTGAGTCTGAAACTAGGGTGCTACTCGACAGCATCTCATTCAAGGGTGAGTTCTATCTGACGGACCTTTGTGTCTGCCAAAATCGAGTGAGAAACATGAATCTGAATCAGGAATCCGATCGCAGCAAAGGGAAAGTTGCTGGGTGAGGAAATGACTAGCCTTTACTCAGCTGCTGCTGCTGAAACGATTTTCTATTGAGGGTTAATGAAGCGAATGCCCTCACGCAGCGCAAGCTGAGGAGGCAAGTGAGGTCGATTCTTGACTCACAACTCGGACTCACCTATGTCATGAATTCAATGATGAAAATCACCCCTCCTTCTTCCTATCTCCCAACCCCGCTTCTGCGCTGCAACTGGCGACAGGTGCTTTGCGAGTAGGTTGCCAGTTATTCATCATTGCAGAGAATAGACCCTCGTCCACATTCAATGGTATACACCTGATCCAAGATGAATAGTCATGGGAAACAATTGCCGGTGACCTTCCTCTGTCTGAGCGACGGGTCAAAGAGTCATAGTGTCAGTCGCCCACCGGTGTGTGAAATCCTCCAGCGAATCAACGAGTCATGATTCCATCGGATTCGATTCGTCATACATCACGGGAGAGTCCTGGTGAAGTCGGTGAGCTTCTCTCAGAGTGCGAGTCTTTGAGGTTGGCGTCTGGTCTTAAAACCGCTTTGCGTCCACAACTCAAAGGTTATGATTGCAGGTTGCGGCTGGGAGTTCTCGAGAGTAGGATGTTTGATTTGCTGTATCATGGACTCTAACCAGACGGTTCCAACTTTTCACCACACTTTATACTCCCCGCTCCCCCGCCAAGAGATTGGTGAAGGAGCCAAGGGTCATGAGACCGAGGCACATGTCCAAGAAGCTCCTCTCCAACTCAAGTCAGGGTGGAGAGCGTGGCTTAAGCGAGCGATTAGCGAATAGTCACAGTATCAACGGGAAGCGAATCAAACCCTTCTTCCTATGCAACCGTACCCTAGGGAACCTTGGCTACGTCGTGAAAGAAATCGAGTTCGTTCGCCTTCCACGTCGACAATCCCTAAATCACCAGCCCTTTCGTAAGGTCGGCCAACTTGGAGTTGATCGTTCCACGCTGCAGCAGTCTGAACTCGCAAGCGACAACAAGTTGTGAGATCCATGCCGAAAACATCAAAATTCCAAGTGGGTAGCTTGCACGTTGCACCGAAGTTCAAACTGAAGTAACCAAGGCCGAGTGTCGTGTTGGGGATGCGTGAGCCCAGTCAACCAGCTCTTCTTCTCTTGCTTGATCTAGTTGACTCGTGTGAGATAAGGTGGATGGAATCCAACTCACGTGAGAGAGATTGAGCCCGGTTCAAGACCCGCTGCCTTCCTACGTCAGCTTCGAGTCTTGTGGTGAGAGTTGAGTATAGGATCGTGGTCAGTTGTCATGGTCTGTCAAGGTTAAGATTGAGGTGAGTTGTTCTATCTGTGCATTGGTCCATGTCAGAGACAAGACGAGACGCGTTGGTCGTGTTGTGTTGTTTCTTTGGTGTTTCTCTGCGCTGCCTGTGCTGCATATAACGGTCCAAAAAAAAAAAAAAAAAAGGAGCGGGAAAGTTAGCTAGAAGTTTGGTGAAGTGCGTCTGGAAGGAACTGACGGTGATCAATGAAGGCAAAACAAAAACCACTTCACCTTCAACCGCCACCTACAATCTCGAACACGATCCGCCCTTTCTTCTTCGTCTATTTCTCATAGAGGCTTCCTCTCGAAAACTGAAGTTTCGGTAGTCAACGAGTCCAGCCAAGCAAGCCCCCAAAAAGAAAGGGGGTGGGCACAAGTCAAAAGTCGAAGGTCATCTGAATCTGCCAGTTTCATGCCAGGTGGCAAACATTAGATCAGCGAACCCATGGTCTCACCTCAGGTCGTTAAGAGGCTCACTCGAGAGCTGCTCCAACTCCGGCAATTCCCTCCCGATTGCGTTCGGGTGGATATCAATGAAACCGACATCCTCAACTTTGTAGGCTGGGTCAAAGGTCCACGTAAGTCAAAGGAGGGGGATGAAAGCATATGAAAGGAAGATGCCACTAACGTGCTCGATCCTACCATCTGAACGACTCGACAACGTCCGATGAATGGGGCTCTCCAGCTGGAACACCTTACGAGCAAGGATTTTTCCAGGTCAAGTTCGATTTTGAGGGTGTCGATTTTCCTGCGTCTCCTCCTAGATGTGAGTGGAGACCTCAAAGCCGATAAAGCTGCTTTTCATCATCTCGGAAATCAGGAACAGGATGGCGCCGCTGATCCTTAGCTCGGCGATAACGTAAATCTCCGTTTCGCAGGTACTTTAGGAACCAAAATCTTTCACCCGAATGTCTCGAAATCAGGCGAAATCTGTGTTTCAACTCTCAAGAAGGACTGGTCCCCGGAATATGGAATCGGCCATATACTTGTGGTAAGCTGAAGCTCGCTGGGGTGGATGATCACGGGCAGCGGGGTGCCACTGCGAAACGTTAGGGAAGATCGCTTGGCTCACTTTAATTTTTTTTTTCCCCGCAAAACTTGAATCACCACCTGATCCTCATTAACATCCGCTTCTTCCAGACGATCAAGTGTCTCCTCATCGCTCCAAATCCAGACAGCGCTCTCGACCCCGAGGCCGGTAGGCTTCTCCAAGAGGCCTACGACGAGTACTGCAGCACAGCCAAACTCTGGACCTCGATCCATGCGTCAAAAATGCCAGTCATCTTTGCTGCTAATCGAAACAGCGCCACGCCAACGATCAAAGAGAACCGAGCACCCGCCCCTTCCCCATTACAGCAATCTACAAAGCAGACTTCGGGCCTTGCGTCCTCCTCGATGGATCACCGAGCTGTCCTGCTCGATGAAGTAAAGGCCAGGGTGACTCCAGTTGTCGCACCAGCCAGGAAGGTCGGTCCAGGCCCGAAGCGGGGAGTCCGTCGGCTCTAAATTCTCATCCAAATGGTAAAGAATTGGATAAAGGCTTGAAATCAGTTTGGTTCAATCGTTTGTCCATTTCCTCTTCCCTTTCCTGTCTTTCCCTAGGAAAACTCCGTACTTCCACATTTCTCAACCACCGCCAGAATCATTTTGCACTCTTATGGAATCCCTCTCACATCGGAGACAATCTGCATCCGCCACGCTCTAGGCTACAGTATCCCATTATACCTTGTAGATAATTTTGGCTCCAGCTTTTCCCATTTTTTTTTTGCTCTAGCTTGATAGGAGCGTAATTAATTACAAAAAGATAGAAAAAACTGCTTAAAGTAGAGAAAAAGGGAGGAGAAAAAAGTTGCTTAGATACGACGACTACAGGATTCGAACCTGTGCGTGCAAGCACATCAGCTAACGACTCGTGATGCTGGGCACCTAATTCGAAACTGACCCGATAACCACTCTGGCAAGTCGCCTTCTTGTGCTGCGGCCGAAGTAAAGTTACATTATATACACGCTACTCAGTATTAGTCATGGGACAAGATTGTAGGAACATGAATCATGAGACTGCTTTTCTTCTTCTGTGTCAACAAAGTGGAGTCAACATTTTTGTGCCGTCCGCTCGACCCGCCAAAACCTACTCCATCTGGTATGAAGCACACGCTTCTTCGACTTCGGCCTGATCGAATTCCGAGTCTGAGCCTTCGAGCTCGTAGAAGTCTTTCCAACTTGCAAGGTTAGATTTCTTGGGCTTGGTCGCTGTGATATCCCGATTCTTTTTAGAGAGCATCTCCGAAGGGGCTATGGGTCATGAGTTGCAACTTTTTTTTAGCATCAAAAATTCACCAGCTACTCTCCTTTGTATCAGATTAAGACATTATTCACCATCGACGATGTAAAAGGTGACTGCGAGCACCTTTTGAGCCTTTGCGCAGTCTAGGAGCCATCGAATGTGAACGGGAACCACTGGTCGGCTCTTCTTCAGCCTTCGTTTGGAATAGGGATTCGAAGGAATTTAATGTAAACTCGGAGCATTCTGATTCAATGAATAGAATTGGATCAAAAAGTACGGAGTGATGTGAAGGGAGTGGACACAAACCAGATGGTCAATGGGTCCTCCAGGCCATCCACCAGTATGATGGTGGCTTTCTGATGATCATCTGTGAGTTCAAAGTCAAACACACTCGCTTTTTCGGGCAAAAGGAAAGGTCCCAAGATGGCAAAAGGTAATGAGTCAACATTCGAGGAACCACTCTGAGTAAGGCTCACCCAAGCCGAGCCCTTGGAACCAAAGCATCCGCACTCAACGCCACGAGCTCCTGTCTGTCCAAATAGCCGAGAGCTTGAGGGCTGAGCCAAATGATCTCTCCGCAGAGTTCGAGAGGCATGCTGATAGAAGGGCGACCTAGGTGAAGAGAGTGAGAGTGAGAGAAAGCCTTATTAAGGAAGGAGCAACTCTGAAGTGAAGGAGACAAGTAGGGTTTCATGCCCAGCCGATAAAAGATTAAAGAAAGAAAAAAAGATAGGGGATGCGTGGGGTTCCGAGTTCTTGATGGCTCGAGCGCAGCCCAGTCGCTAACCAAGTGAACCATCTCCTGTCTCGCACTGTCACGGCTTTTTGCACTTCATCCCATCCTTTTGTGCTACCTTACCCCTCCCTATCCTTCCCTCCATCTCTCCTTGCCTTGCCCAACCCTGATCTCTACCAATCCACCTGGTCCTCACTTTTCTGGCTCTTCCATTTTCGTCCTATTTGCCTCGTATTGCTGTCCATCCAAGAGCCGTTGGTAATTCCAGTTAAACCCAAGCGGCACCCCGTCGACCAGTTTAGTTTAGGGGGAAATAGGCCCACTCACTAAAGATTGGGCAACCTCCCCCAAAAGGAGGCAGATTGATAGCACTCATCGCCCGTGGTGATCGCTATCCTGAGTGGTTGTTGGAACCTTTGTTGGATAGCAAACCAATATCGACCGATCAAGGTCAGGAACGCCAAGGTTGGTGAAACCCTAGCCCTGGAATAAGGTCCTCTACTCAATCCTTGCCTCTCTGTTCTTTGAGGCTTTCACCCGACAGCTCTCACTACCTTCCACATCTTTTTCCCGCAACTGCAGCCACATCGCTGTATCCCTTACGCTCGTTTGCTCACGCTATTCGAGTGGAAGACCCCTCAAAATATCGCCCACCATAACAAGCGATTGCAGAACTGTGCAACCCATCTCTTCCACCCCTAGAGCCTCAACCTCTCTCCGATCAGCCGATATTTCCGGACGAGGTGCCTCATCTCGTGTCAGCTTGCCTTGAAACTACTTCCAGCTACTCCTCTAACGTTTCTGAATCAGAACCTTCGTTGCCAGCCTCAGCGTCATCGACAAGCCACCGTCATCGAAGCGTAGGTAGCTACAGGGGAAGAAGAGCTCAACCTACCATCAAGCCGAAAGTTGTCACCTTTGTCCCATCCCAAGAATTAGGGTCGAACCAGGGGAAGATCGACCCCCAGAGGAGCTATCATCGCTTTCATACGCTCCCTCAGCGAATCACGAACCTCCCAATCCTCTCTGGTATCGAATACAGTCTCCTTGCTCTGGAGAGGCAAGAGAGGTAAATTCATAAGCTTCTCTCACCGCAAAAGAAGCGCTTGTCTACAAAAATTACTGTGGCGAGTTCGGGAACATGGACGAGTCAGCAAAGGTTCTCAGTGAGGCCCTCAATGTGGTCAAGGTGCAGCTCGTGCAAATGAAGAGATGTTTGGTGAGTTTGGATCTCGTTCTGCACTCAAGCATGAAGCCTCTTAGGATGGCTGGGGAGGCAGAACAAGGAAGAATCTATGAAGTGGTCTCTGTGCCTAACCCCCTTGGACTCTGCCTCTTTGTTTCTTACAGGATGCCGATCAAGTTATGGATGCTTTGAAGAGCGCGTCCACGATGTTGTCGGAATTACGGACGTCGTCCCTATCGCCAAAGAATTACTACGAGCTCTACATGGCTGTATTCGACGCCCTTCGGCACCTTTCTATCTACCTTTACGACGCACACACGAGTGGCAAGCATCACCTTGCCGACTTGTACGAGCTCGTGCAGTATTGCGGCAACATTGTTCCTAGGGTGAGTTACCTCACTTTCTTTGGCGAAGAAAATATCAAGCGCGGAAGCAAAAAATTCTCTGGTATCGTAAGAAAAACTTCCTAGCTGATGACAGCTGTCTCCTCTTCCAGCTCTATCTTATGATCACCGTGGGTAGTGTGTACATGTCCATTCCAGATGCGCCGATCAAGGAGATCATGAAGGACATCATGGAAATGTCTCGTGGCGTGCAGCATCCGACAAGAGGACTCTTCTTACGTCACTACTTAAGTGGTGCAACGAGGGACTACCTTCCCATCGGCTATGATATGGGTCCAAGCGGCAACCTACAGGACAGCATCGGCTTCGTGCTTACCAACTTCATCGAAATGAACAAGCTTTGGGTACGCTTGCAGCACCAAGGTCACTCCCGAGACCGGGAGAAACGCGAGATGGAGAGGAAAGAGCTGAGGATCCTCGTCGGTACGAACCTGGTCAGGCTTAGTCAGCTAGAAGGCGTTGACCTAGACATGTATCTGCGAACCATCTTACCAAGCATCCTGGAACAGGTCGTCAACTGTAAGGACGTGATCGCTCAGGAGTATCTCATGGAAGTCGTCATTCAAGTTTTCCCCGACGATTTCCATCTGCGGACACTGGGTCCCTTTCTATCTGCATGTGCTGCACTCCATCCAAAGGTCAATATCAAGCAGATAGTCATCGCCTTGATCGACCGCCTTGCCGCATATGCTGCCAGAGAGGCGGAGAACGACAGCCCAGAAGAGATTCGAAGGCAGGAGGAGGAGGCCAGCCGTAGACTTGCAGAGAAGACTAGACAAATGCGGCTGACCGGCCAGAGTGCCGGCCCAAGCTCGGTCTGGGACGAAGTCGCTGCGCAGGGAGATGGGAAAGATGCCAAGGCGATCGATATAGCTGAACCTATGTCACCCACTCCTGCAAGCAACGGCGGATTTGGACCTCCTCCGGTGGAATCTTCAGGATTTGGTTTATCTGGTCCGGACCGTGATTCTGCTGCGGCCCCCAACATCGCCACTCATAGCTCTGCTGACCCCACGTTCTCTGGAGTGCCCGAAGGTCTTGATGAAGGCTGGGGATCCTCAGGCAACGCCTGGAAGTCTGGAACCGATACGGACAGCGCAAGTGCGCAGCCATCGGGGAGCGAGCACAGCGGCACAGAGGCCACATCCGATGCAGGCGGTTCCCAAGCAGGTCGCGAGATGAAGTCTGATGCTTTCCCTTCAACAGGTATTGAGCACCGCTCTCCTGAAGCGGTCCCTCCTTCAACGGCGAATGGTGCTGCCGCTTCTGGCACCCCCGTCCAAAATTCAACCGAGTCAGCAGTCGTAAATGGAGCAAACGGAACGGCAGTCCAACCTGGAGACGGGTTTGTATCAGCTCCTGCACAGAGACCAGTTGGAAAGTTCAGAGGCATTCCAGAGGACGTGAGGCTTTTTGAAGTTTTCTGGGAGCAAGTCGTCCAGCTAATCCGTGCTCGACCAGATCTCTCCATTCAGGACATAACTGCCCTGTTGGTCTCTCTCGCCAACCTTTCATTGAGCTGTTACCCAGACAAGCTTGAATACGTCGATCAGGTCCTTGGCTTTGCAAGAGAGAAGGTACTTGAGTTCGAGCAAAACCCGGACCTCCATAGCGCAGCCACCACCTCGAATCTCAACTCGCTCCTTCTTTCACCGATCAACTCCTACTTGACGGTGTTGACCCTCCTGGCGTTGCCTTCTTACCAGGCTTTGCTGTCAGTTCAGCCATACTCGACGCGAAAATCCATCGCCCACGCTGTTGTCATGTCCGTCTTGAAGAACGAAACGGTCATGTCCACTCCGGAGGACGTGAGTGGCGTCCTTGACCTGTGCAGTCCGTTGGTTCGAGATCAAAAGGATGCCGCTATGGGAGGCATGGCCCATGGAGGGATGCAGATGGGATATGGAGCCTCGGGGCCATACCCCGGTGGCTATGGTCTACACCAGGATTCAAAGTATCAGATGGGTCAAATGTACGGCGGAAGGAGCTCCAACAGGCACCACATGGCCCAGTTCGATTTGGAAGAGATGGCCGAGGAACAGGGTTGGATGGCGAGGATGATTCACCTCTTCCGCTCAGACGACCTCGAGACGCAGTTTAGCCTCTTGCAGACGGCACGAAAGCACTTTGTCGAGGGTGGCGAGCGTATCAAATTCACGCTACCGCCTCTTATAGTCTCTGGCATAAAGCTTGCGAGACGATACAAGGTCCGAGAGAAGAAGGTGAGTTGCAAATGATCTAGTTCCATCGGGTTGACAGATCTTTTTTTTTTTTTTTTTTTTTTTTTTGACTGAAGGAAGAACACCCTATCCTATTTTAAACACGAAGGAGACCAACTGGGAAACGAAAATGTCGAC